GGTATTTTAATCAGAGCAGGACCAAGACATTGAGCAGCTGTATGCTCTGAGATAAATGGGTAAACCAGCTAGCAGCAGCAAGTGCAAATGATTATCTAGAGATTTTTTTTTCTTACTTCAGGGAAGTGACACTGACAGGTTCTTCCCTCAACATATCCTGAGACAATTTTTGACCAAAAGAAAAAAGAAAAAGTTAGTTATCACCTCTAGGAGGCAAGGAGGACTCTGGGACCTCCCGATCTGCCCAGCCAGGGGCATGGACCAAGGTGGTCAAGGGCCCTAAAGCCCGCCGCACCAAGGCCCCTGCCCCGCCAGAGCTGAGCAACAGGTACGCACCTCTTGCTGCTCCAGCAGAGCCTGCTGAGTTGCCGGCTCCCACAAGCAACATGGGCCCAACTGCAGCTACCGCCCCTGCTCTCCCCAAGACAAAACGTAAGGTGTTTGTTGTGGGAGACTCCCTCCTGAGGGGGACTGAGGGGGCAATCTGCCGCCCCGACCCCTTAGCCCGGGAAGTCTGCTGCTTCCCGGGGGCCCGCATCCGGGACATTGCGGAGAGGATCCCAAAGCTCCTTCAACCCATAGACCACTATCCCATGCTCCTTATTCATGTGGGTACTAATGACAGCTTGGAGCGCTCCCAGCCGGGTCATAAGACGCTACAGGGATTTGGGAGCGGGGCTAAAGGGTCTGGGGGGCACAGGTGGTGTTCTCGTCGATCCTCCCAGTCTCAGGCTATGGGCTGAGGGGGGAGAGGAGGATCCACGTGGTCAACCAAAGACTGCAGTGCTGGTGTCATCGGGAAGGCTTTGGCATTCATGACCACAGGCCGCTCTTTGGCGAGAGAGGCAGCAAGCTGCTGGGAAGAGATGGCCTCTACCTCTCTCCCCTAGGGAAGAGGCTCTTCGCAGCCAGACTGGCTGACCTGCTCCACCGGGCTTTAAACTAAGCCTGCTGGGGGACGGGGGGACTACCGCCACTGCTGGCTTTGTGTCACCGTAAAACATGTTATGGCAGCACAAATGAGACGTCAGGTGATTTCTGTCTGTTTCCACCTTCAGCATCCTCTACAGTAGACAAGGAGAGCAACTTTATCATGCTATAAAGTGTCTACTGATATTAACATCTATTATTTCCTTTAATTTATTTGACATGTAGCTCAATATCTTTTAGTTACATAAAATAAATTAGATTTGGTTGCAAGAGCACTCTATCTTGGTAGTTTCTTTGCAAGAGAGTATGATTATTTGCCCTATCTTCCTTTTTTTGACAGCTTTTTAATTTTTCTCCAGTTGGCAGTTTTTTCTTCTGTTATATAAGTTATGAAAACCCTGTTGCCCAATACCTGAGGACAAATTTCTGTTTGGAGTGTGATTTCACTCTTTAGGTAGAGGGCTTGCTTTTCTGATAGGCCTTCTATGTCACCTGTCATTGATTCTGATTGCAGAGGTAGCCACAAACAGACACTTTGTTTCTCATTGTAGAGCACTGGGTGCATCTATACAAGACGTTAACTGCACCGTAGCCGAATAATACTGTGCAGTGGCACATCACAGCACCAACAGTGTGAATGTTACTGTCCAGTATTAGACTACTGCACAGTAGTGTTAGTTAAAAGGCATTCACCAGGCTACTGTACAGTAACTCTGGTTATGGTGCATTTCTTTAGTACTCGTATAATCAAGTACTAAATAAATGCACCGTAACCAGAGTTACTGTATACGAGTATAATCAAGTACTAAATAAATGCACTGTAACCTCTGTGCAGTGGCATCTCATGTAGACGTGCCCACTATCTTCTATCCATATGAGATGTTCTAAATACTCTTAATTCTGTGAGCTGAGAGAGTCATGGTTTGGCTCAGTCAGTGGTGCATACATTGATGATGATACTGTAATCTAGAAAATCTTGTTTAGTTTATAGGTATTCTTCAGAGTAGGAAAAAAGTGAAATGTTAATATAAGTGAATTAGACTGAAATGGAGGAAATGTCACTTGCAAATCAAAGGAAATGATCCCTCTGCTTTATTTGGCACTAGTGAAATCTCATACAGAGTACTGTGCCCAGTTTTTTGCCCCACACTTGAAGAAGGATGCGGACCTGTTGCGAAGAGTTCAGTGAGAGTAAGAAAAATGATTAAGCCCTGGGAAGCATGATGTATGAAGACAGAATAAAAAAGGTAGGGTTATTTATTTTGGAGAACAGAAGACCCTGGGTGTGGGGCAAGAGTTGATATGAAGGGTTAAATACCTGAAGGGCAGTTCTGGAGAGGATGAATATAGATCAGGGGTGGGCAAAATGTGGCCCAGGGCCCAGATGTGGCCCACCAGGCTATTCTATCCGGCCCGCAGGGCCCCTAAAAAATTTAGAAAATTTAATATTAATCTGCCCTGGGCTGCCTGTCATGCAGCCCTCAATGGCTTGCCAAAACTCAGTAAGTGGCCCTCTGCCCAAAATAATTGCCTGTCCCTAATATAGATTATTCTCTGTGGTCAAAGGGCAAAGGGCTAGGAGCAATGACCTCAACCTGCAGCAAAAGGAATTTAGGTTGGAGATGGGGAGAGGAGCCTTCTACCTATGAAGGTGGTCAAACATTAGAATGGTCTACCTAGAGAAGTTGTGGAATCTCCATACCTGAAAACTTTCAAGACCAGGTTTGACAGAAGCTTGGCTGGGATGGTTTAGTTAGGGATGATCCTGCCTTGAGCATGGGGCTGCACTAGATGACCTTGCAGTGTACCTTCCAGCCCTACTTTCCACTGATCCTATGATTTTCTGCATTACAGAATGGTGAATGGCTTTGCCCTGACCTGTATTCAGGCTTACTTTTTATTTAGTAGATCTAAGATGATCTCTGTTTTTTACCACATGTAATCTAGGCTTTCATAGTTTAACATTTTTCATTGCAAACTGAAATCACCATCTTGTTCTGATCATTCTCCTTCCTGTTTTTGTGAAAATTGAATTATGAATTATTTAGTAGACAGAGAAGGCCTGTATCTGATTTCATGCTCCCATGTTTCATTTGACACTCAGTATATGCCTGAATTTGGCAATCAGTGTTGTCCAAACTTAAAAGAAAAAGCAAAGGAATGAAAAGAAAAAAATCTTTGGAGTTGTCAAAATGGTTCCCTGCCTTGAAGTGGGGGAAGAGAAATGAATCCTGTTCTCTTGCCTCAGAAGTGATTGCAATATAGAAGTTCTAATTATGACCACTAGGGCTGTGCAAAGCTTCAATTGCTGATTCAATTTGGAGGAGATTTGGCCTTATTCGGCAGCTGAATCTCTGAATCCAACTTGAATCGAGTCAGGAGACCCATTAATCTCTCCAAATTGAATTGGAAGCCTCCAAAAGCAGACCCTACTATGACAGGCTGAGAGCCCTGGGGCTCTTTAGCCTGGAAAAGTGCAGGCTCAGGGGTGATCTGATGGCCACCTATAAGTTTATCAGGGGTGACCACCAGTATCTGGGGGAACGTTTGTTCACCAGAGCGCCCCAAGGGATGACGACTAGGTCGAATGGTCATAAACTACTACAAGATCGTTTCAGGCTGGACATAAGGAAGAATTTCTTTACTGTCCGAGCCCCCAAGGTCTGGAACAGCCTGCCACCGGAGGTGGTTCAAGCGCCTACATTGAACACCTTCAAGAGCAAACTGGATGCTTATCTCACTGGGATCCTATGACCCCAGCTGACTTCCGGCCCTTTGGGCAGGGGGCTGGACTTGATGATCTTCCGAGGTCCCTTCCAGCCCCAATGTCTATGAAACCTATGAAAGATTTGTGAAACACTGAGAAAGAGGCTAAGCAAAAGCAAAGGGACAAAGAAGGACATTGTATTGGATATCTTAACCAAAAACAAATTGTGATGAAAACTTCTGGGCACCTTAGAGACTTCTAAATGTTTTGTGCAGTACTTATCACAAGAAAGCCGCACCTTGCCTAGGACCTCTAAGTCATTCAGTCACAATGCACATATTACAGATAATACAAGAATAGATATTTGCTTCTTTATCAGCTTAATCAAATGTTATAGCAGACTGTCTCTGGACCACAAATTCCCCTGCCTATTGAAAAAAAAATGAAGGACATATCCCTCATATGAGGAGACAGGTTTGCCAAATCCTCTCCTTTTTCTAGATGTTGTTACTAAAACTTCAGGATTTTTCTCAGATAAACCTTCACATCTCTTAATTTAGGAAAAACTGACCTCCAATTACCTTGAGGGCAACAAAGCCTAAAAGAAGTGATGCACAAGAGAGGCCCTTGACATTTATAAAGACTGGAAAACAGCAGCTGTACTTAACAAATGTTGAGAGAGCTCCTGGTGTTTCAAAAGGATGACTGCTGTCTACTCAAAACAGTTAAACATTTGAAATGTTTTCAACTACAGTTTGCTAGCCACTAGTTTTACAAATATTGTTTACTTTTCAGAATGAATAGAGTACTCATATAAGGTGCTGGATCAGTAGCTCTGGCAAGGAAAGCTTTTGTGTGTCACCACATAATAGACAGCGTTGGGCAGCAGATGTGTAAGTTTCCCAGCAGTTAAGTTGACAATATGCCTTTAGCTTATCATGGAAGTGCTACATCTATAAAAGGTAAAGTGCACACTCACTTTTTATAGCCATTCAATCCCCAGAACCTCACCCAAAAGCATGAACAAAGAAACTAATTATGGTTTATTCTTTAAATGATGTGAACAGTTATCTACTGGGAAGAGAACTAAGACCACTAGCTGACTTAACAGACTGTCAGATGTCAGAGGGTAATTTCTGGTCACTAATGAATCAAGTTAAATGTGAAGTGGCAAGATACAGAATCACCCTATGCATCATTGTTAATCACCTAATCCATTTAGTCCCTAGTTGCCATCAAGTGTTTCTTATATTAAATAACCCAAATGAAATTTAGTAAGATCATATGGATAAAAGATAGATGATGTGGAACTGACAGAAAAATATGTCAAACAGTATTATGAATAAATACATTTGGTGCTTACCCATCTCTTCCTTTACTGACAATTTTAACTTCAAAATAGTATATTCCACAGGCTGCAGGAATAGGATGTGTGGCGCGAACTGAGGCAGCATCTTTTGGGGTTTTTCCATGACCTGCAAAATAATCAGTCATATTAAAAACTTAAACTCCAGCTGAAATGAAAATGCACAAGGTAATTTGACAGTGCACAAACCAACACTCAGAATAAGTGACTCAGTTGCACGTACTTGAAAAGTCTGGTTAAATTGATTGATGGAACACAGCATGTGAAGCTATGTTCTTACGAAGGTGCTCTAGAATGTGCTTACCATTGTCACTTGTCTAAACATGCCAACAGATCATTCAGTGTATTCTACTTATAAGAGGTTTGCTATTATAAGGCAAATGATTAAAAGGCAAGATTCAATCTGTTTTAATATAATTTGTATATAAGATTGACAGAAGTCCACTTGAAAATACTGCCTGGCTCCAGTTGCACAGTGTTTACTTAGTTTTATCAACTGAACTATTAAAACTGTGCTGTATCATTTACTGCTCAGTATATTTCTATTTCTTTAGAAAATTTCAAGAGATTTTATTGCTGTCCTTTGACATATCTGTCAGTTGCTTTACAATATGCACAGTAAGCAACTTATTTCCATGTTCTGAATTTCTTTTATTACAACAATTCATTAACCACTAAAGCCTACAAAAATGAATGTAGGCATTACTCCTATTGTTGCAAGAACAGCAGACACTTATCAGTGCTGTTCCTAAAAGAAGTCCTAGTCTCAGTACGTTAGCCTCTTCAGGGCCTCGGCAACTGTGTTTATTTTCTAGCATCTTTTGCATTGCTTACTTCAGTATGCTTCATTAATAACCTCTTCATTTTCTCTAACGATGGCTTAATCATGAAACATTGATTTCTTAAGACTTTATATATTTAGCTTTTATTTCATCTGTTTCCTGTGGCCACAGATTAGACACAAACTGGTTCACAAAGTCTTAACAAAGGAAAAAGACGCATATTTGCTCCTGCCTGTACTCAAAACAAGACCATGGAGATTTACTGAATTTCTTACTCCTAGTAAGATTTTTCCCCAGATTTAATCCCTCAAAATAATAAGCAAACCTACAGCCTAAGAAATCCCAGAATAAGTTTGTTTTGTTTTCAAGTGCCAATGATTCATTATTAAACTGTTATGAATCAGGTTGCCTTTCTTAGTTATACAGAAGTCCCCGGACCATAAAGCAGCCATAACGTTCAAGGGGCCTCTTGAATCCTTGAACAGAACATTAATTCAGACATCCCTGTTTAGATATCACTTAATCCCTAAAATAAAAATAAATATTTCCTAACATTTAAAAATAAAAACCCAAGAGATAAATTAAAGGAAAATATTCCTGTACTTCTCTTTGCATATTTTATGGAAATTCCTGTAGTTTCACTGTTTTCACTAAACTATTGAATCAAATTTCCCAAAACAGGAGGAGGAGGAAAACATTTAAAAAAATAGGAAAATGTGGTTGCAAATCTATTACTATTATCCAATGATATCCAAAACTAAAATGGGTTTGGACAACTGACTAAATTTCAAGATGCTGTCCTTTTTAAAGATCTCTTTTCTAACCTATAAAGTAGCCTCTAATTTTAAAAATATGCTTATTCTAGATGGTCTGTAGTTACTACTTTGATAGTAAATTCAAAATGCAAGAAATGCAGTCAGTTGGATCTTAAACATTGCAAGGAGCACCCCATAAAGCCTCCCAACATTTTTCTCTACGTTACCTGAAGTAGAAGTTTTCAATAGTAAGACTTTTACAGAGTTTAAGATATAGTCTATAATAGGATGACAATTTTTAAAGTGTGTGAAAGATTAAAGACTAAAAGCCTTTTTTCATCATTAAAAAAGTGTTCTGCAAGAGTCTTACACAGCAATTTCCACTACCTTCCTGTAAATTTTAATTTTACTTCAAAGTCTTTATAAAAACCTGCAAACACTTTGATCAAAGAACTGAGACTAACTCACTTTATAAATAAAAAGTTATTTTAACAGCTGTTAGTGATATTAATTAACTTTTATTAAAAAAGATATCATAAGGTCTTTAGAAACAGAAGTTTCCCTCTGAAATTAAATTAGTATTAAAAATAAGCTAAATTTAAACACCATACACTTGAAATAGCCAGCTAAAACAGAGATAAGGTAGTGATAATCACAGAAATTATTTTAGTTTTTAAAACCTAATATTAAGGCCCAATGCTATAAACATATAAATGAGTAACTCCATAAACATTAACTAACCCTACTTAAGTCAAAGGGATCTCCTTGGCAAAATTACCGGGATGTATGATCCTATGTTATTAATTTGTAAATACATACTTTAGGTAAATATAGTTTAAAATGACTAATGTTATTGGGAAACTGCAGGTAGCTATAAATCGGCTAAAAAAATTGAACAGAAACTTAAGTGGATACAGGGGAAAGGTTTTACTCAGACTAAAAATATCAAGACCTGTAAGCAGTTACTCAGTGACTTCAATTTCTGTGATTGCTTTAACTGTACAAAATAGGCCTCTGTATTGCTGCCTTGGCTATATTTGGTACAGTAAAGTAGATCCATCTCGGTTTCTCCAAAATGTTACTGAATTAATTTAAAATGCTCTTGATAAGCTCATATAGGGTTATTTCCATCAGAACCCTATTTTGTCTACTAGACAAATGTGAAGAAGCACCTAGAAGTGGAGATAAAACTAGAAGATTTTTTAACCCAACACTGGAAGCCACTCAGAAATACCTGTATTTACTGGGGGGAGGGGGAATCCCAGCAAAGTCCATTTATTCAAAAATTGTATAAGACTTTTTTGTCTGACATGATGACAGAAGCAAGAGTTCTTTGGCAGTATCTTTACTGGAGAAACTATGCAATTGGGAGAGAGGCAAGACAAGATTTCAGGCACAAAGCACCCAAATAAAGCAGTAGATTGAAATTATTAAGCGATTGGAAAAAACAAAGAACAGGCTACAAACTGAGAAGCAGCTCTTTTGTACAGTAATGTTACAGAAGTATATTAGGATTTCAAGATATTGCATTTCCTTGATTGGGTGGGCAAAATACAGTCTGCAAACTGCATAGTGACATGCATACACATCCACGCATATACACACGTACGTGTGCATATGTATGTGTGCGCACATGCCTGTGTGCACATGTCTGTATGTCAGCATGCAGTTTGCAGACTGTACATACATTTTTTTTTGGATGGCTCACTCAAGTGGTTGCTACCTTTAACTCCAATATGACATACATTTTCCAGTCAGAAAGACAAACTTAGGACATTAAACTACAGTGGAAGTAAAAAGAAGAAAAAAGGTAGAATGGAAAGGGGAAACAAGCTAGGAAAAAAAAGCACTGATGTTACCAGAAATAGCACTTCCTGTCAGTCACAGATAGGGAGCAACTACCTCCAAAAAAAGCCATTTCTATTATCAGAATGTTACACGAGCAAAGGAAGCCTGAATAAACGCATCCAAGAATCAACAAGACTAATGGAATCATTGCTTTTAACATTATCCACTTCTTGACTGGATCTATTTTTCAAGGATGCTGGTGGAAGATCCCACAGATTTCCACCCAACAACCCACACATTTGTTTCAAAATCTTTATCAAAAGCAATGCCACTTCCGGTTCTTTTCCCACTGCCCAGATAGCCACAGATGTATTGCCAGTTCCAGCACTTTACAAAATCAGAGAGATTCTGAAAGTTTTCTTCCTGAAGCTGCAGCAGTACCTATCTCCATTAAGATTCAGGATAAAAGGGGAGAAAAGTTCAATTTTTAAGGAGCCATTCACTGCTTTAAACAACAGCATGTTTGCAGTTAGAAGAGAGGCTACCCTTCTAAGACCACCTTTTCTGATCCACATACCTATGTGTTAGTCTGGTAATCTCCAAGTCGACTTACTAAAGAACTAGCCAACATTCCCCCTACATTCTTATTAGGTGAGGCTCCCTTTAGTTGTCACTAATTACTTAAGTGTCCCAGCTTACATAATGTATTTCTATGGCCTCGATCTCTGTAGGCAGTGAACATGTCGGGTAATCAGCATAGCCAATGTTTAACATTCATTCATTATTTCTTCAAAGAAATTGCAACAAGATGCAGCAATATGGTTTTAACTTTTAGAGACTGGGGGGGAGATGACAGGTAAAGCAAGAAAAAAAAAACAAACATAAAAATGTACTTTTGTAGGCAGCCAACAGACCAGAACGATTCCTTATTTATTTGTTTTTAGCTCACCATTTTAGAAAATCACAGCAAAACAAGTGAGCAAACTTGGCAGAAAGCTACATGCACGTGATGAAAAACTTAACAGTCAAACAAGATCAACTATAATATACTTCTAAAAATGCCAAGGTCATAAATACCTGAAAAGAAGTCAGGAAATTCAAAGTTTAATATTACAAAACATATCTTTCCTTCTTAGGGTCCTCCAGAAGGCCATAATAAGTCATCAACTCTGAATTTACTAGCTTTGCAAGTCTGCAACTTAAATATTATTTGAATGAAGTATTTCGTACAATACACATTAGGCCCTGCCTCTTGTAGAATACCTTGCAAAGTACATCAAATCCTTTCACAGCGGCCAAATCCTACCATTTGTATGTTTGTGTTGCCATTTTCCTCCTCTTTGATTAAACAGTAACATGTTTATCAAGATTTCACTTCAATTTCACTACTGTAAACTTAGAGAAAGGGTAATCACAAGGGTTTTCCCCTTCTTCTACATTAGTTTGACTACACTGTGACCAAAGACCTCCCCCTGAAGCCAACTCAGAAGTTGTTTTGATCCGAAGCACTTGGGACTTGGGCCTAGAACACCAGATGTGAGTTTGCGTGCCTGCGCGCGCCCTTTTTTAATAGGTCAGGGTGAACTCATACCCTTATGGCTTCTATGACACGTTCACAACAACCAACACTTACAGCCTGCTCTATTGTTGCTGCTTGCTGACCTACATGAGTATAATATTTTATACCTTTGCTGCTGCCAATCTGGCAAGCAAATCATGGGAAACCACAGCATAAACTGTAATATTCTTTGCTTTACGTCTTAAATCCTAATCTTCCCGCTCAA